CAGGGAAATGAGAGTTTTATGTAACTAAGCTTTCATTACTCTTAAGTCTGTGTGGAGGTCAACAGCACTCAGCATCAAAAATAAGATCCGGATTTTCAAGTCCACTGTGAAGAGTCAGGGCTACTCACCTTCACGCGTCATAAAGATAATCTCAAACAAACTACAGACCTTCATTAACAGCTGTCTTCGCTCAATACTAAAGATCAGATGGTTGGCCAGAAAAGATCAGAAACAGGTATCTCTGGAAGTGAGCGAACCAACCAGGAACCGATTGTGCAACAAATCTGCAGGAAGACATGGAGATGGAATAGCCATAAGCTGAGAAAACCACCAAGTGACATTACCAGACAAGCCATTGCTCGAGTGGAACCCGAAAGGGAAGCGGCGAGTTGGTCGTCAGTGTAAGGGTGACTTGGAGGAGGTCATGTGAAGAGCAGATGAAAGCATGTGGGCAGACTTGGAGCGGGGTGAAAAAGTTGTCAGAAAACCGAAGACAATGGAGACGTTTGGCTGAAGCCCTATGTTCTCTAGGAATTAAATGATATAATAATAATAATACCTCATGAAATTCATTATACGGATGAGCATCGGATAAACGTCTTTTAATTTTTCTGCATTTCGAGCATGACAAAAGGCTTCAAGTTTCAGGTCTAAAGTTTTAATAGCAATGCCACTGTTTCCTCTACAGGGTTGTAGTTGCTAGCCTCACTCCTCCCCACTACAATCCCTTCTTTACGGAATTTACTGTTCACTAAGCAAGGTGTAGGAGTGCATTAACCGAGATCTGAGCCTGGACCACGTGAGTATTTGACAAGGATACTACTCTTAATTATGGATAAGATTTTATTTTGACATGCATGTCTAACATGCGAAAGATAATGATAACACCAACAATAAGGAACCTAATTCATCAGTATTAATTCCATACAGGGAAGGAACCTCGGAAAATCACCTTACGGCGAATTCTTAACAAGGCAGGAATAAAAGTGACTGGGATTCAATCACCCGCAAACTCAATTAGAAAAAGCTGTGTCGGTTAAAGGATGAATCCTGTGAAGCCTTTAAAACAAAACAACTTAGTTTATCCAATACCCTGCCTACAACGACTTTTCTGGTCAAATACATAAGTCACAGCTGTAGAACGGGGGCAGTGAGACTAGCCGAACATAAAAACCTAGCAAAATCTAGATTAGTTGACCAGAATAAGATAAGAAACCTAGGAAATAGTTCACCTATGGCACTCACAGATAACAGAAGCTTTGTTTATCGAATACATGTAATAGAAATGATTTAACACCTGTCCTGTCGGATATCTGGAAAATTCGACTACCCAGACGACGACAAATAGGAGAGAACAAAGAAAACTATAAAACTCAAGTTTCAAAGTCGTGTGTTTATAACTGATGAAATGATTATGAACAGCAATAAATTTTGTTCGAAACTGTGTAATCCAGTAAATAATACTGTTTCAGTGACTGTGTGATACATCTAATAAACAAACTAATATGGAACTAGCAACACACCGTTTACTTTTAGTCTCAACTGGCAATATTTAATGCAAGATGATGTGATCATCTTGATGTAATCCACATTGTTATTCCCAAAATACATTAAAAACTAACATGAAAATAGAGGTCAATAAAATGGGGGAGGGGGCCGGGGCCAGGGGAAAACACACAAACATCTACCTTTAACTGCTGAATTTAATTTCCCGCTACGTGACGATGCTGGTGGTTTTAAACTTTGTCTTGGTGTCGGTGTCACCTGTTTCTTCATTTTTGAACCAAAAAAGAATAAATAACATGAAAAGGCTTGTCTACTCAAGGCATATATCACGCCTAATCCTTGACGATTTGTAGTATCAATAGAGTTAAGCTCTGCCCAATGTTGTTTTGTATCTTCAAAATTACTGTTATTATTATTATTGTTATTATTACTGTTCTTGTTTTGTTCAATATTCAATAATGGTGTGGAAATTGATTCAACTGAAGGTAATATTGCAGCAGCGAGTAAAGCATGATCTACATCAACTTCAATTAAATATTGAAATCCTATCGCCATTAGATCAGGATCATTCTATTCTATACTTTTCCAACAATTTTTATTTATCTACTGTGTATTTTGGTGATTATAATTCCATTGAATCTATTGAATCGTTTTGTTTAAATGTTTATGTAATATGCAATAATGTATGTTCAAGGTTTCAATTTTTTGGGATATATATATATATATATATGAATGAGTTTTAAGATATATCGAATGCCTCTCTATTTAATGCCTGATACACTGGCCAATCATGATTGTTTACTGGGATAGTGTTTTTCTATTGGTTAAAATATAAAATGTACTCAAATTCTTATTGGTTATTTCTGTTGTTTTCTTTTTCTTTAGGGATCTGAATCTTAGGAAAATTGTAAATTTGGTTTTGTTTGATGGTTACAGGTGGTTTTATTATTGACCTCTCTTGTTATTGTGGTCATTAGCATGAGTACTAAGGAATGTAGACGTTGTATTATTTGAGGGAGAAATACCGGTGGTAGTTATTTATATTTTCGGTTATAAGACATCCGTTTTTTCAAAAAAAAATTTATCCTTAATTTTTCAACCAATCAGACAGTAGGCAGTTAAAGTTGCATATCGTGTAATCCAATGAAATTTCGTCACATGACTAAGTATCATTTTTCTGCTTGCTGATACTCGGAAACAAATGATGTATGTTGGTGATCAAGTAAGCCTTACTTCATACCGTTTAGACAAAGTGTCAGTCTGTCTACAAGCTCGCCTTGTAACCAGAGGGTCTTGGGTTCGAACCCCGGTGGGTGGGTACTGCTAAAGAGTCGCAACTAGGACAAAGGAAACAGCTGTCTGTCCTCCCTGGTGGTTTTCCAATGGTTCTCTAACCAATGTCAGCTCATGATGAAATCCTTTAACCAATCAACCGAATCTCTACAAACCAATACTTGAATGAGTAAATGTATGTTAATAATGTGGTTTAGTAAAACATGCTTTTGTGAATTGTACTCAGAAATTATTTAAACAGATTTTATGGCCTAGTATCTCAATGAATCTTCCAGATTATTTAAGTATAAATCAGTTTCACTTTAAAATACTGGCGAAACGGATGAAGATGTCAAATCCAGGTAGCCAGAATCAGAAAGGCAAAGTTAAACTTTCGACACCACTAACAACCAATCAGAAAACGACCTTGAACGGACCAGTCACATTAAAGAGGCATATATGACGAATGGAAATGTATATTTGTAGAAAAAAACATAAAATAGAGAATAAAAAAGTTACATGGGATATCTTTCTCGAACATGTGAGAGAAACATCTGCCAGTTTAGCATGGGACTGTCAATGGAGAAGTTACACCATATCCTGTACATATATTCATCCAAATGACTATAAATGAGATTCATTTATAGCCCTTATCCTATTTTTCAACCTGCCCCAAAATCCTTCAATAGAATTTGTATGTGTCCTCGTAACGGGATCCACAAAATCACTTGAATGGTTGACTCTATGATGAATATATCCCAGAGATGACAGTGAATTGTTGCCTTTCCACTTGTCGGTGTGTATAATTGACCCCCGCTTAACAAGTCTGGTAATAATAGGTATAAGAGTAGTTGCTTTTCTATCTGCTATCCTTAGGGAGAGAAGCGACCTGGCGAAAAAAGTTCCTACGAAATATTAAAATTATCAGCTTACCCTCTCTAGCGTTAGTAGGCTTCAAACATATAGCACAACGATGAACAAACCCATCAGTTGATTTGGTATAGCTTTTTAAAGTCAGGATACCACCACACAAACAAATTCGCTCTTTCCGGCGCAACTCAAATCCAGGAAATACTGGAAAACGCTAACCTCTTCGAATTACAACAATAGCTTTGTAAGGTCACGCATTAGAAATGAATCAAGCGCTATACAACATTGAACTGCGTTCGTGAATCTCATTGGATAATTCGCTGTTTGGTAGTTAGTGGTGTCGAAAGTTTAACTTCGCCAAGGCAAGATACGCACACCTTCATCAACCTGAAACCAGTTTGGAATTCTTCTGCATTCACTCAGCCAGTCACGGCTGATTTGTGTTCCTGGATTCTGATTCGAAGGGGACGTCCACTCTGGCCGATGTAAGGAGATTATATTAATACCATTTACAAAATCAATTCAATGAACTATAACAGGCATTACATCGGCCAAAGTGGACGTCTCCTTCGAATCAGAATCCAGGAAGACAAATCAGTCGTGAAAAGACACGATATATATTCTTTCATATCAATGCATATAGACAATTATGGACATCAGTTAGATTGGGATAATGTCAAAATTTTAGACAGACAGGAAACGTCAAAAGTGCAGTCAGGGAATTCCTAGAAGCCTGTTTGATACTCAGACGAAAATGCAATTAACAAACACGTAAATTAATATAGACCAAATATACCACCAACTAATAAAAAGTAGATCAGGTGACGGGAAAGTTTAAAATCCAAGTCAATAAAAAACGATCAATGCATATGTAAAAATGGTTACTATGAGATACACTTCTATCAGTGATGGAAAATTTAAATCACTTCAGTTTATGCACTGAAAGGGGATGTTGTCCAGCAGGGGGACGATGAAAGCTCCGCAACTAAACCAACCAGCTCAGAGAACACTATTAATTGCAAATAATGTACATTCAGAAATAATAATAATACGAGTGTTATTGATCAGTTACAATCAGATGAGAAATAAGACGAGTGTTTTTGTAATCATAATAAGTAACTTGTTAGAATGTTGTGATGTACGTGAATTGAAATAGAAATAGAAAAATCTCAAGTGAAATGATTTCGTGACAAAATATATGAAATGGCATCACTCACTCACTAGTGTAATCAAATTAATTTAGCCCTGAGCTATGCATACAGTGAACACATATAGATGAGAGTGAGTTATGTGAGGTATACGTATACACCAAATTAATTGTCAGCACAAACAAATAGATAATTTTAACTCACCAGGACCATAAGCACGAACAAGACCAGGATTTGATTTTGGTCTAAGTGGTGCACCATCTTTTAGCTTTGCACTAGGAAACTGACTCAAATACGTCATCATAGCTTTTTCATCCACTCTTGGATTAATCATCTCTTCTGGACGTATAAGTTGTGGTACATCTAACCATTGTTCTGCTGCACCCATTGCTTCACGTGCATTTCGTAAATTTTGTTTCGGTTCCCATTCACGCCAATCAGGACATAAACCAGGTGCACATGCATCAACCAATGCACCGATAGCAATACCATCATTCCAATCAGTTGTGAAATTTTTCACTGGTCTTTCAGCTAGCTTATTATTCAACCAAGCCATTAAACGTTGTTTTGGTGTAGGTCCTTGAGCCTGGTGTATAAAGAAATAAGGAACAGGGTTTCAAAAACACAGTTTATAGATGCCCTTTTTTGTCATGGAAGCAAAACGACCTCTCCCACACACATTCAATCCAATGAAATTAAACCAAATCCAATAAAAAATATTTTTAGTGCAGTTGAATAGTGGAAGGAAAGAAAATGTGAAAATCACACACACACATAAGTGTTCAAAGTGTTGCCTATTCTCTCTTCCTTTTTTTGTATCTATGAGTACTAACCAGGAAATTATTTTCAGAGTAATTATTGAAAAGTTTTGGTTCTAACGGTGGTACAGGCTTCACAACTCGTTGATGATGTCGTATCCATCGTTTAGATTTCTGAATAGTGGAAGCAAAAATACAAATTCACAGCAATATATAAACAAACATATGCATGAATGTCAAATAACTTTTATTGACTTTTTCTTCTTGTTTACAATGAGAAATGACAGTTACCATGTATGTTGTCCCACACTTTTTGTTCTGTGTTTTTGTTGTGAAGTAATCGCAACATCTGATATTTGTAATTTGTCACAAATGTCTTCATTTGAACATATATGTGTGTGCATAAAGGATGAATCGAAGCGTATTGACTGACACTTGACAATTATTTCTTTCAAATGTCAGGTGAAAAGCCATGATTAAATTTGAAGTTATTTTCCCAAAAGACGGCATAGAAAAAGGAAATAGATTCCTAATGACTGCTAATCGGCAGGGCTTCCTGCTGACTGCCTTTAACCAGCCTACATCAGTTTAAAGTGCCCCACAATGGTGAGTCACCTAGCTTAGTATTAGGTAATACAAATAGACTAGTTCGATATTTTGTCAGTTAGAATTTAAACTTTGAAAATATTGATTGATTGTGTATATGTTGGTCAGTGAGACAACCAATCAGATTTCATCACGTAGATGGACACCTGTTAATCGGCCCATGTTGCAGCATGATCACTTTCTGTAATATATTTTGCATTATTATTATTACATTTGTAATAATATAATCTGTCACAGGCTCGTCTGGAAATACACACCTCAATATTAATGTGTAAGTCTTTTTGAATTACACATTTCAGGTCAGGGGGAGGTCTTCTAGGAATCTGTCAAGGGTTTATTATTGTTAACCTTATTCATGTGAAGATTAAGATATTATGATGATTGAAGACTCGATTGGTAGACTTCAGTCTAAATCAACACTATGAAATGGAGCTGTGACACTGGTTACCCCCAGTTAGTGGCCAATCAATTTTTAGAAAATATCTATAGGTCATTACACACAAAGATTTGATGATAACTAGTGTGATGTGTCCAGTCCTCTCATTGGTGCAGACTAAATTCTATCAGTCAGGTTGTAATGTGGCCACCATTCTAGAGAGCTCGCCATTACGGTGCACATTGATTTGATGATATTAGATGGTTGGAGGCAATCGGAAGGAAGGCTTGCTTGACGTAGGTTCCGTGCTAGTTGACACTCACCAGTCAGCGAGGCGTATCTGCAACCTTGAAGGAATTCATGTCCCTTCTGCGGTTTTCCTCTATGTTTGGTGGTATAATACAGTGAGTGGTATTGAGGTTAGGAATCGAGTGTTAGGTAAGGAGAGACTATCAGTCGATAAGGTTATGAAGGTACATCAACTAAGCTACTATATGATCCTCCTCGACATGTAATGTTATCTGACAAGGGTCAGGTTGGAAAGGCGTTAGTGGCTTCACTCTATGAAATTTAATAGCCAGCTTGAGACACATAGGGAGGTGTAGACTTCCTGGTTAAGGTCCTCAGGATTCTAAGAATAAATGGCTGGAGACGATTGGTGGTGATATGGCTTGAAATCGTTTTTCAGTGGTGGCGCAGATACCTCAACTCTGTGCAATCCACCATACCCATTAACTCTTCATGTTTTGCAATCTGTCTTCTTTTGTGTGCTACATAGAATGTGGCAATATGAACTGTTGCAATTCTGTGCAACCTCTATATTGAAACCAGTCAGACAATCTTCAAATTTCAATAGTTTGCACACTTTTAGCTCACGATTATAAGTTCAGATCATCACATCTCAAATCATCGTGTTAGCATCAGATTCGTCTGTTTTTTAAAGTTTGCCCGATGAATTTCCATGGAATGATGTTGTATATGCATTGTTGTGCGTTATTAGTACAGATTGTTTTCTATCAGTTAGATTAACAATTTGGTTACCCGGCTAGGTGGCTCACCATCTCTGTGCACTGTGAATTGTTGTTAGATGTTTGGAGCAATTATCAAGACGTCGTGCTTGATTTAGGTTTCATGCTTGTTAGTACTCGTCAGGATGGCGTCTCTATAAACCTTGAAGGTACTCATGTTTCCATAGTCACTCAGTGCTTCAGCCAGTGATGTGATCAGTGTGCTTTTCGAATTTATGATTGACACGGATTGTTTACTAGGCTGTAACCAGTGTCACACGTCTAGACGTTGGTACTGAATATGACAACGAAGTAACTATTATAAACATCAAGTTACTCAGTAGCTGTTGTCTATCGTTGATGTATTAATTCTGCCCCGACCAGCACTACCACCCCAGTATTAAAACGAGAACATTAGTGTTGCCATAGTAACCCATCCCATTATTCACTGCATAGTGAACGCATTGACTGCTTATGCCCTTCAATTTGTTATTATTATTATTATTATTAATTGTAAACATAACAAGCGTTTTTAAATAGTTATTATTATTTCATTTGTTTTTGTCTTTCAAGACAGTAGAAATCAATACGGGAGACGCCTGAACATAACAATAATAATAATAATCATAATTTAGAGTTAACTCTCCCGATTGTTATCACGTGTTCAATTAAAATCAATCAATAAAATGCCTGACTATGAATGTGTCTATAGGAAAGACAGACTACTTAGTCTTTCCTCAAGGTCACACATACACATTAAACAATAAATGAAATTTAAACGTCATAAGCATAGACAATTGGAGTAAAGTAGTTGACTGGCTGATTAGAAAATGGTGGTGTATAAAATTGAGTAAGTAATGAGTCCTTTGTTTATGTGTTTTCTAGAAGGCTTATATCTAACAGCTTGTATTGTATGTGTGTGTGTGTGGGGGTGTGTGTTTATGTGTTGCCTCAGAGGAAGGCGGAGGGAATGAAGGTTTGTTGATCGGCAGGTTAAATGCAAATAAAGCAATTAATCAAAGTAGGCTTGAAAATAAAATATTTATTAGAACAAATGATTGGATCCATTGAACAAATTTTAAAAGGAAGTAATCATGTTCAGCTAATTAATAGAAACAACAGTGATCATAATGTCAGTGAAGAGCTGATTAATATAGCAATAATAATAATAACCTTATTTAATTACAGTAATCAACAGGAATTGATTTCCTGTATGATGTATTTTAGTAGCGTTATCAAAGTGGATTAAATGACAACAGTGTGATAGAGTACAATTCCAAAATTTATTTGTTGTGTCTGCGTTTTCTGAACTGGTTGGTTTATTTACGAAGCTGCCATTGTCTCGTTCTAGACAACATCTTCAACAAGATCTTCTACATAAATTAGTGAGCGTATTTGGTTTCTCCATAGATGATATAATTCCCGAACTCCTGACAATTTTTGTCGTGAACCGCCGTTAATTCACATCACTATTGATCGTTCGTATTGACTTGGAGTTCGACTTTTTGTCGTGTTGCTTATGTCTCATTTTTTGATAAATATGATCTATAATAAAGTTTCTTTGGTTGGATGATTTCATCATGAAATGACATCTGTTAGTGAACCTCAGTACTAGTTTCGGACTCTTCTGCAGTACGCACCCACCGCTAGGGTTCGAGCCCAGGAACTTCTGGTTACAAGCCCAGTGAGCTAGCTCATAGATCATTAAGCCATTGTGGCCAGTCCATGAATTCCAACTTCTGCCAATTCATGACATAGTGAGACCGCTAGCCAATGTCTTCGGCGAGTATTTGTCTTCACACCCACTAGAACCCGAGGGAATTGTCTACCTGAGTATGGCCGGTCGCTAGCAAGCATCAGGTCGATTTTTTCAAGTATTAACTTTTGTAGGGATTTTGTTTTGATTGGTTGGAGGATTTCAAACCTCGGTGGGTGTCTACTGCTGAAGAGTCTTAAATCAGGACGGAGGAAACAGCTCTTCAGTACTCCCTGCAGGTTTTCCAATGGTTCTCTAACTGATGTCAGCTTATGATGAAATCCCCAACCGATGAAAACAAAATCCCTACAAAAACCGATACTTGAAATAATGTTTGTGTTGATCGCCGATTCAGCTGATTATCCGGCATCTAAGAATTCTCTGGTACCTCTAGTATTTAAACTGGTATCTATAGTGTTGCCTACATGCTTTGATAGGAGAAAATACATGTCATGTCTTTTAAAAGCTAGCTAAAGGTCACGCTAGGTCGTGAACTGGCAGAAGTTAGAATTCAAAGACCATTGGATCGGGTCCCAGTGGCTAAGTGCGAGGTCGCCTTGTAAACAGAAGTGCTGGTTTCGAAACCCTATGATGGATACGTACTGCTGAAGAGTCCCAAACTGTGTACGTTTAGTTGTATGAAACTGAGGTTAGGCACAGAGAGTTAGGTAATGAGGGATAGTCATTGTTGGGGTTGTGAAGTTATATCGATTAAGATGGTTAGGACACATGTGCGTGTTGACTACAAATGATAGCTGGCAAACGATTATGTTGGAAAAGATAGAGGTGTAGTGGAATCAATAACCTAGTATCGATTCACGAAGCTTTTGACTATTGGTTGAAATCAGCCATACAGAGAGGTTTAGACTACCTGGTTGAAGTCGTTGAGTTACTAAAACCCTATAAATGGAAACAATATGACTCAAAATCATTCTAAATGGCTAAGATCTACCCACTATTTGTGGCCCCTCAGATCCATTAAGTCCTAAGGTTCTTCCATGCTACGATTGTTTCCCTGTAAATTTATGTGCAGTATAGTTCTTCTGTTTCTCATGCCTTCTCTACCTTTCTGTAATACATACAGTGTGTGGTAACTTGAAGTGATGCAACTCTGTGCAAAGTTCTGTGTTTGAAACTCAGTTCAACCAGTCAACAGAATCCCGTCTATTTCTCATGGTGTCAGTACCTACTTATTTTTATTGAGAGATATTTTACACAAGGAAACACTTTTAATTTACCATAAATCTAATAAGGATGCACTCATTTATTTCAGTAAAGAGATGTTTGGTAAAAAAAAAGGATCAAAGTAGTGTGTATGCATAAGACGGTGTAATGATACAATTCCCTCCAATCTCTCATTTCATCATCTATCTGGGCTGTAAAACTACAATTACCCAAGTTATTTTAAACATATTTCCCAGAGTTTGTTGTTATCAGCGGTTATCTAAGTCAGTTTCATCCAAAACTGAACTTGAGATCAAGTTTGACTGATAGAATTCAGTCTGTAGTGAAGATGGGACTAGTTACTGAATAGTGTGCAATCAAGAATATCCAATACAGTTCTAAAGAAGGTCAGTCGCGAGCCTTAATAGGTGACTCAGTGGTAACGTCTCTGACTGCAGTACTCACTGGGTGACCCGGGTTCGAATCTCAGAGGTGTGAGACATGAGTTCCTACAGGTTCGTTGCAGATACGCCTTGATGACTGACTGGTGATTGCCAAGTAGCATGAAACCTAGGCCATTCAAGGCTTCCTTCCGACTGCCTCCAACCATCTAATACCAACAATTAACAGTGCGCCGTAATGGCGAGCCACCTAGCATGTTGGCCACATTGCAATCTTGACTGACAGAATTCAGTCTGCAGAGAAGATAGGACTAGACACATCACACTAGTCACTGACCAATATGCAATCACAAAAAAGACTAACTTCATTGTGGAATCCTAATTCACTAGAACAGTCACTTGTTACACACTCTGAAATCGGTCTGGACATCTGCTGGAATCAGCATAAAAAGACAAGATTAAGATCTTCAACACCAGTGTCAACTCAGCGCTTCTTTAGGATCTAAAGACTTGACACAGGCGTTAAGGAAAGCATTTCCAACAGGCTGCAGTTTTTCATCAACAGCTGGCCGCTATTACTTCATACTGAAGATAAGGTGACTCACCAGAAACGATAAGTCATAAAGAATTCTACAGTGCAAAGCACTAACTAATAAATACGCTGAAGTATATAGAGGTGCTTTCGACATACTCTGAGGAGACCGTAGAGTGAAATCATGTGCTGAGCAGGCCTGCAGCTGGAACTTAAGTGAGAAACAACAAGTTGGCCGTCGATTTAAAAATAACACGAATGAAATGAAAGATTGTGGACTATAGTCGAGACAGCTAAAAAGAACTATAGAGTAAAATATCAATCGGTTGATGAAGCCTTATTTTCCTCTAGGACGCCAAAGGAATAGTAATAATAACGATCATCAATAGCGTCAGATTAAGCACTTTTAAAGTAACATTACATCGGTGGCACAACGGTTAGGGTGCTCACCGACTATGCACATGGTCCGTGGTTCGACCCCCGGCCACCGACACACTCCTTCACCCTCCTAAGCCATAAATAAATAAAAGCAAGTAAAGAGGAAAAGTTGGGTTAGCCATGAGGCTGGCAACCCTACCCTGTAGAAAAATAAACACCACTGTTGTAGAAACTTCAAGTCTCTTGCTTGAAGTGTCCGTATGTTCCACTGTGAACGTGAAGGAATAAAAAAAAATAACAAATGACATTAATATTGTAAGACTAACCCCATAGTCGGGTTCACCTTCCCAAAGTGGGATTGTAATTGAATAATGCAGAATGAGAGTCCAAATTAAACCGAGGATTAATTTACTCCGACAATCAACAATATCTGAACTATCTGTAGAGGAATAAACAAAAAGTACACAAATGCATATACATACAGAAAGTGTGTCTTAAATTATACAAACAACTACACTTTATGAACAAATTGATTATTATGTATTCTTTATTATTATTAAAGCATAAACTTGATACACTATGGGAACCAACAGACCCACTACACAAAATCTTAAAGTTTGAATGAGAGCTCGGGTATTGCTTGCGTGTCTAGACAAGAGAAGGTACTCGTCTTTTAGGGCTCCCTCCGCCACCAGACTTTAGTTTGATGTCTGATTCACGCCGTAGTAGGGTAGCACCAGTAGCTGCGTTTCCATGGTTTCTGGTGATCAAAACAGGTCCATCTGCCATTTGATTGTTTCAAATTCAGGAGTCCATATACACACCATACGTTTGGAACACAGTCTTTCAGTTCCACTAGATAGACTGACATGTCTACCAGTTCACTGGTAAGCACCAGACGTTTGCATTTATCCTTTCACTCCTCGACATGAAGACAGTAAACAACCAATCGTATCAAGTTGGTATGTTTACAACTTACATGTACGTCTCAGAGCCATTAACTTGGAAAGACGTACATGTGGGTATCCTTCCGCTTCTCTGAATGTAATATCCCGAAAACTTAAGTACCAAAGTTATTTAGTCCCTTACCAGTGTCACTGTCTGATATCTGAGAGTGGACATTTTCACTGCATTTACCATTATCAAAAAACAGACGAAAATACAAATTTACTTAAATTTGCTGAATCTGTTGCCATCAGGTATTATATATTCCCTTGAGTTCCAAGTGGAACATCACAGGGCTTCAACAACAACACATCTCCACTTCCTTCTGTTTTCTACCATCCTCGACAGCTGAGTCAACAACTGACCATAATCTCTTCTTTCCTCATCCACTGGGGTAGTAGCCTGGCGCACGATGTCATCCAACGGTTTCCTCAATGTATGCGCAATCAATCGATCTCCATTTTCTCCTGCATATTTGTTGAACGATCGGCTCTTGGTTGGTTTCTTAATCGCCATAGTTTCTTGTTGCTAATTCTTTCTGGGTCATTTTCTCTTCAATATGGAGCAAGCGAGGGGGGGGGCAGTTGTTGATAAAGGTCTGTAACTGGCTGTTGGAAATCCTTTTCATTACTCACTGACTAACTTCACATTTCTGTTCGACAGAATCCGAATCTTGTTCTTTATGCTGGTTGAGTGAGTGCAGAAGATTTCCAAACTGGTTTTGGTTGATTAAAGTGTGCGTGTCTTGCCTTTTGGATTCTAGCTGGTTGGTTTTGACATGTTAATACGTTTCGAATGTCTGTAGTTGAAACGATGCTTCTTGGCTGGATAAGTGAAGGAGGTAACCTCTGTTAAATCTCTCCCGTTGATGGTGATTCGTTCTGCTTTTTGTTGTTATTGCTGTTATGGTTTGTTGGTTACCTTCATCACCTCCGTCTATCTTCCTATGTTCACCTGGAGTCCTATCATCGCCGCCTACCTCTTCAGCCAGTTTGTTACTTTTTCGCTTGTATGTCTTCGAGTTTGTTTGATATCAGACATAAATCATCCACACTCAAAATCCAGATTATTCTAGAGTCTTGTTATCGGTCAGTACAGAGTATTCCTGACTCCTTGCTCCCCACAGTAACTCAAAGCAAACTTATACATACAGAAAGAAACATTGATTAGTCTTCTTAGTTTAATTCGGTAACAATCCTTTTCGAGATATTATACAAATATACATTCTGTTTTATAGTTTTTTTTAAGGCTGTTTTCACTATTATTATGATTATGATTATTAATCTGATCTGTTTACTGACTCAGTGATCTGAACTCACATATCAGATTTCTCAAATATTCTTTCAAACTTATGATCAATAATTTTCTTTTCCCTACTACACCATCACATCGTTGTTGCCGCAAAACTACTATTCTCTAGTGAAACTTCTGTTAAATAGAATGAAGAATGTTTGCGTTGTTTATTTTTGTAGTTTTGTTAATGCTGTTAATACATTTTAGGCTGTCTACAGTTGAAGAAAGGCATAGAAATAAAATGCTATGAAGAAATTGGAGTGGCCTTAATTTCATAAAGTGGATAATAGACAGTTCCACTAACAACAGAGCTAATTTTACAAGTGCTTACTGTTAAATTTGAATTGCGCAAGATTATGGTCAGTAAGATGCAAGGGAACTCCCAGTCATATGACTTTTTATCGCCACTGTCTCATATTTAATAGTAATATGCTTGATTAGTTCTCACTTAAACACTTTTAAAAACCTTAGTTAAACAGCTCATTTAAACTTTTGAAGTAGATAGAGAAGCAAGACAACGTGTTGTATACACTGTCATTGATGATATTCATTCAAACATCTATAAAACACAAAATGATTGAGCAAAGAATATCCTTTTCGATAATTTCCGCCTCCTCTGGCTCCACAGTTATACATATATATGTTTATATGCTTAGAATATTCCAAATCAGCAGTCAATAACAATATTAGTGTTCTTTTAAATAATATCGATTTTTAAGTAAGATCACAATGGAATTACAGTTATTAAAGATGCTTAAAATTATAATGATAATAATAAAGATACAATAGCAAATAGAATATCAACTAAAATTAGGTAAATTTTTTACAAAAATTGAGGATCGATCGAATCTAGATGGCCAAGATAAGCACAATGTCTGAACTAGCTTCTTTTAGATGCACAAATTAAGCTTCCTAATGTGGATCCCAACGGCCCCAGAAATATTTAGTAAATGAACACCTAAGGCGAAGTGAGGATTTGTTGGTATGCGGCAAATGACTTTGAAAGCTGCCTCGTTGACATCAATCTTGTGTTCTGTTTGTATCCATAAGATGACACAGAATAGCGCTACGAATAGATTTTGTTTGCCATTTACTTAACCACTATGCAGGGTGATGTTCCTGTGGAGCAGGTTACATAGGTCGTACAATTAGGCGTGTTTCTCGTCGGATTTCCGACCATCATCCTGCACAGTGGTTAAGTAAAGGACAAACAAAATCTATTCGTAGCGCTATTCTATCTCATCTTATGGATACAAACAGAACACAAGATTGATGTCAACCAGGCAGCTTTCAAAGTCATTTACCGTATACCTACGAATCTCAATTCTGCCTTAAGTGTTCGACTACTAAATATTGCTGAGACTAGCCGTTGGGATCCACATTAAAAGCCTAATTTGGGCATCCAAAAAATTAGTTCAGACATTGTCCTTACCTTGGCCATCGAGGTTTGAATAATCCTGAATTTTTGTGGAATTTCCCTAATTTTAGTTGATATTCTATTTGTTATTATTAATATTATTATAATTTAAGCATCTTTGATGAACTGTAATTGCATTGATCTTTCTTTACAAATCGATATTATTGAAAAAGCAAACTAATATTGTTATTGACTACTATTCTAAAATATTCTATATATAAACATATATATATGTATAACTGTAGAGCCAGAGGAGGCGGAATTTATCGAAGAGGATATTCTTTGCTCGATTATTTTGTGTTTTGTAGATGTCTGAGTGAATATTTTTGCTATATTGAAATGTCTTTTTGTTATAACTCATAAACTCTGCTAAAATCTTAAAAAGGAGTAAGTTGGTATCAAACTCTGTAACACGTCTTCAACATTAGTTTAAGAAATTTTATAATCATAGCGTGCGTCGGTGGCACAGTGGTTAGGACTCTCGCCGACCATGCACATGGTCCGGGGTTCGAGCCCACGCCGGCGCACACATGATATCTATGGCCGGCCTGCAAAATTTGGGCTACCGATATCCATGCTGAAAATTCCATACTTGTACCAAAAATGCAGTGTGGAATCAAGCTGTAAATCAAAAATAAAAAAATATCAACCGTGAAAAAAACAAAAAATGACAGTAAGTAAGGAAAATACAGTCCTACTATTCATAAAACACTACATGCATAAACATCATCTTTTTACAAAAAATAGTCTAAACTACAAACTTACCTATATTCACCAGCCTCAAGCCTTCATTTTCTTCTAAAAATCTTAAAACCATAGTAACATTTTCTAGTTTTTGTGTACGAAAACTTGGTTTCCTGTTGACATGTTTAAATTGTTGTCCAGACAGAGATTCAACTAAAGCAATCAATCGAAGACCATCAGCTAAATCGAATTGTAAATCTTCTACAGTAACATTTTTAGGCTTCAAATGTTCATTAGCCCATCGAGTGAATGTATTCTTTTGTATTAACTTCCATTCAGCGTCTTCAGCCAACTCACGTTCAGCCATTGGGATCTCCTCTTCATCTTCATCCACATAACCGGCATCTGCATCTGGATAGTCCATGGTTTACTTTTCTTTTTTGTTTTGTTATGTAGAAGGAATCCTAGAAAAAAAGGAGTATAGAAATAGTACTTGTTTTGATAAAGTATTTTACTAATTTGACTTTATAAAATAATTTGTACATGTACTGCGTATAATGAAAATGATGCCAGCCATTGCTAAGCAACCTCAGACACTGTGAAGAGCAAATGAAGTTCGCCCCTGGGTCACTAAATGATTGCATACCTACTTTTCACTAACAAAATGCAGTACGCTGTATACAAAGGCAAATCCTCCTGCTCTGCTGTGCTCACTGAAGCTGGTGTCCCCCAAGGTGCTGTACTCTCCCCACTCCCCTTTTATTTTTTTTTCTTTCTACATGACTTACCATCTTCAAATGACGTTAATTTTGTCAAATATGCTGACGACCTGACTGCATCTTTGCCTGTCAAATGTTAAAGTGACTGCTCTAAACCAAATGGCTTTTTTTCAAGAAATCAGCCAGTGGTCCAAGGAAAACAGTCTTACCTTAAATTAATCCCTCTAAATGTCAAGCAGTCAATTTCAGCTTTAGGTATAAATCTGACTGACCTAAACAAACTGGTTACCAGTCACGAGGTGTGCAACGTAGCTGGTACTGAAACAGAAATCAAGTCGGAAATTAGATACCTAGGCGTTATTCTATTTGCTGATCTTTCCTGGTCGTCTCATGTCTTGATGATTTCTAGGAAAATATTCCTTCTTACCTTCAACACAAAGAAGTTAAGACATTCTGGAATAACCCAACCCAACCCTTACTCTTACTATTACGATTCGTTAACTCCCGTATTCTGCCTATTATTCTCTATTGTTCCCCTTAGTTTTTCCAGGGCTAATGAAGAGAGACTATACCTTGTTACACAGGATGTTAAAGGTTGTCAGTAGGGTAAGCAACGTTAATATTCTGGTTGACAGGCACATGGACTCATGTGAAAAATGGGTTAAATCCATTTGATGTATCTAACTCACACCACCCTCTTCATTCACAACTCTCCCCTTGTATCTCATCAGGTCAGACCAGACCAGAAGCCTATATAGAAAACTATATGCTAACGCACTACCAAGTACAAAATCTCAACCATACTCTACTTAGCTCGTGTTCTGTGCGATAAAGAAAGCATTATGCGTGAAACTTGTAACCTAATAAATAGTCAGTAGGACACAATTGAATCTCGTCTTTCCAACTCATATCACATTTATAGGTACAACGTTTTTTTTCTCTCTCTCTTTTTTTCTGTTATGTGCTGCTTCGTTTCTTTCTTCCGTTTACGCTAGTGAATATGCTAGCATCTACTTTTCTAACACCTTCAAACACTGTTCAATTTTAGCTTTGCTACCGACATGCTAATATGTTGTTGTCACAACGAACTGAGATTACCCTTAATCTATGTAGAATTTTATTTCATGTGAATGTACTAACTTGATGTAATACTGTAGTGAAATGCTGAGAATTCCATTCTGTGTTACAAGTCCTGTTTTGGAATAAAGCAAATTATTATTATTATTAATTATTCCCGTGAAAAATGAGGTCATTCATTTCTGTCTCCATCATTCCGATGAGATGATTTCCAACAGCATACTAGTGTCATATTTACAGAAAAAACTTCACATATTCAAGTTATGTTACCGTCAGTGAAACTGCTGCAGACATTCTAAGGTGTAGACCTAACAGATCGATTGAGAAAACAGTCCCTGTGAATTAACTGATATTTTATTTCCCAGCTACCAAACTACCAGTGACAATCTCTTTAATGTGTATCTATGAATTCAACTGTTCATGCAGGGTTAGTTACATTAGACGTACTCAGAAGGCATCAGCCATGCGCTCACATGAACGTATATCTGTATGGTTGAGTGAAGGGAGAATCAAACGCGTACGTAAATAGTGCAGATACTGAACATTCAATAAAAATGGAACAGGCGTTCTCTATCTAAAGGAGCTCGACTTTGTTTTCTATGATCAGCAGACTTGATCTCTGTATACAGAAGAAGTATGTCCAACTCTTTTTGTTTACCTTAGCCTACAAGAAGGTCAACAAATGCTTTATAAAGATCAATAATTTAGTCCTCTACTCCATTTTCTTCCGTTTGTTTCACAGACAAACTTTTATTCCAAACTTTTTTCAACTTCATGTCTTTCCATGCCACGTCATCAGTTTCTTCACACGATCGTTCATATTTCATCACAATTATTATTGTTATTTGTCACGCTTGAACTTACGTGTAGTCTATCCCATATGTTGGTGTATTCCTCTATAGTATTCTCCCAGCACTTAATAGATTCACCTTTAAAACGTGTACTTTTTTGTTGACTATATATACACAAACACATCAGGTAATTAGTGCGTTTCATTTCATTTTATTTTCTTATTACCTCTACATTTTATGTTGGTTCAAATGACAGTTGAAACTCACTGACAAGGTATGATAAGGTGGCTTGTTTAAATCACTGGCCTGTCTAAGCTTTCATCCAGTATAATTCATAAACCCTTTCTTCTATAGTTGGTTTGTAAGGATTAGTTTTGTTTGCTTTACGAGTTGATTACGGAATAATATCAGGGAGTACGGGACAGTTCATCTAATCAAGTGTGAGGATGGATGTCTCACCGATGACATTGGTGGTTGGCGGTCACGCTAAATCACTAATGGGTGGAAGTTAGAATCCATGGACTGGCCATTGAGGAGTCGCGTCCCAGTGGAGGAATGCTATACGAGCCAGCTTGCCTTGTGACCGGAAGGTCCTAGGTTCGAACCTTCTGTGGTGGGTGTGTACTGCTGATGATTCCCAAACTAGGCTGTTGAAACAGCTGTCTTGTAGTACTCCCTGATTGTTATAAATATAATAATTTTTCCTTCACGTTCCCAGTGGAACATAGGGCTCCAAACTAGTGGCTTGAAGTTTCTATAGCAGTGTTTAATTTTTACAGGATGGGGTTGCTAGCCTCATTCCCAACCTTTCCTCTTTACCAGCATTATTTCTGGCTCAGTGAGGTAAAGGAGTGCGCCGGCCAGGAGTCGAACCCCGGACCATGTGGATGGTCGGCGAGCGTCCTAACCGCTATACCACTCCCTGATTGTTAGTGGTTCTCTGACTAATATCAATCCGTGATCAACTCGCAAGAATCATAAACTCTTTTTCATTTCTTATGGCTTTATAATCATCTAATTATTTTTTTATTGGGATCATTATGAATGAAATCGCAAACAATTTCAGTTTGCTGTTAAAGTAATGCAGATCATGTCTCAAAGTAAATGAGGGAAAATATCGAAGAGGGTGGAATCGGAACTAAAATTGTTCTCTGTAATTATTATTCTTTTGAATGAATTATGAGGGATATTGAAATTTACAGAGTGTAGTATAATCGAGAAATTTGTTCTTTGTGTAGGTTGGAATCTGCCGACCATATGTGAGACATAGTCATTAATCTTAGCAACACTGATACTACACTGTCTTGGATTTTACTACATTACTGTAATAGATTTTGACAAAAGTCACCTACCTAGGTTTCATACCTTCTCAGACTTTTCAGAGCAATTCTTCTCTACCTTAAGGAAATATGTACTATCAGTACAGCAGATATTGTACACAAGTTTATTAATATTTTTTAATTTCTTCACACTCCCAGTGGAACATAGGGCTACTTCAAGTTAGAGGCTTAAAGTTTCGGTCACAGTGGTGTTTATTTTCACGCGGGAGGGAGGGGTTGCTAGCCCAATGCCCAACCTTCCCTCTTTACTAGTCTTACTACTGACTTAACGAGGTAAATGTATGCGTTTGTGGCCGGGGATCGAACCCCGAACCATATGAGGTGTGGTTAAAAAGCTTCGTACCACCGACATACATTAGTTTTTATGTGAATCAGATAACTCACAAGTGATTAACAATGTAAGTTTTAATTACTGACAAGATCTTTAAAGTTTACAGGAAAACTTCAGCCGGTGAATTTTTCCTTTAATTATGCTATTTTATAGTTGTCAGTTTATTTATTCAAACGCAGAAAAAACATGTTACAATATGGCGCCAAGAAAGATGCGCCACACAATAATAATAAAACAACATAGATCAAAAGTTTAAAAAAATATAAGTAGAGAACGGATAAAGAGCTTCATCTGGAAGGAAAACAGTCGTGCTTAACAAGTTCAAACAGTATTCGTTAACTATCATCGGAAAGGGAAGAAAGAAGGAAATCGCAACAAGTTTGCCATTGATTACGATTCTTGGCCATATCTGATAACGTTTCGAGCCATCGATTCGAGCTATCTCGCGAACACAAACCAGGAGTCGTGACGCACCAACTGATGCTAATCTAGCACGAAAATTCTTCATCCCACGATGGCAAGTCATGGAATGACCACGACTTCTCATTTTTTTACATCAACTTTATGTTCAGTGACTACTATAAGGTGAGCTAAAACAGGTCTACGAATAGACCTTTTTTTCTCCTTTGCTTAACAATGCAGAACGATGTTCAGAAATCCGATGATAAAGATGCTTAATTGTACTCTGAATGTAACTGGTTCTTTAGAATCAGTTAAACATGTAGGAGGTGACATAAATTAGTTTCTTTTGAACACATTTTACAAACTGAGAAGTTTGTTCAAAAGAAACTAATTTATGTCACCTCCTACATGTTTAACTGATTCTAAAGAACCAGTTACATTCAGAGTACAATTAAGCATCTTTATCATCGGATTTCTGAACATCGTTCTGCATTGTTAAGCAAAGGAGAGAAAAAGGTCTATTCGTAGACCTGTTTTAGCTCACCTTATAGTAGTCACTGAACATAAAGTTGATGTAAAAAACACATTGAAAATCATCTTATTATATTCCAAGGAATCTTGATTTCGCCTTACATGTTCGTCTTCTACAATGTCTTTTACAGCCGTCGCTGAGGAGCTAAACTTGTTTGCTCAGAATTGGTTCGTTTAGACACTTTCTTCATATCTAGACCATCATGATTTGGTTGTAAAAAGTTAGAACCAGATGAAAATGTTTTCGAAAAGAAGTTTCTTTGATCAATGTAT